CAGCTCGTGGCTCGTGTCCCACTCTTTGGAGGATCCGAAACTGGAGTCCCGCAGGTCGTGGTATGAGTTCGTCGTCAGCGCGGCTAAGGACCTCAGAGCGGCGTTCGTCCTGACCCTGATTGCTCGCTCCTGGGCGAAGCGAGACCTCGACCGCCCCGAAGGAGACAAAGGGGAAGACGGCGCTGGCAGGAGCGGCAGCACCTCCAAGGGGTCGCGCACTCGACCCTCTGATGGGAATTCGACTTCCGCTCTCATCGTGATGAGAAATTAGGAAAATAACGCTGTGCAAGTTGTGGTAGATGTGGGCAGCCTCCAAGACGATGGCTGCCAGGAGAATGCGCTTCGCGAAGCGCCTGAATCGTCAGCACCTCCCAGCTGTCAGTCGTCCTTGCTTGTTGAGTGCTTCTTGTCATGCAGCTTGTCGAGGGACTTGGCGAGAAGGGCGCGATGAGCCAAGCGTTCGCGAAGCTCCTTTTCCACGCCGTCGATGAGAAGGCCTTCCTGATCCAACTTGGTCGTGCCGAGCTCCTCCAGCAGGGCGTAGTTGACGCGAGACTTCCAGCCCGCCTTGGAGCCGCTGGGCGGCTTCCAGTCCGACCTCTGCTTGACGTTCTCGAAGGCCCTCTCGATGCCGTGGAGGCGCCTCGTCGCCAGCTCCGTCGTCTTGTAGTTGATCCAGTCCGCGGGCGCCTCCACCATGGATCGGTCGAGCATCATGCTGATGAGGAGGGCCTCCTCCGCCATGTGGTTGCCGCCCAGCTGCCTCGTGCGAATCATCTCCCTGATGCTCGCCACCGCTGACGCCCCACTGCGGTGCAGGCGAGCCACCATTGACGGGGCCACTCGCGTCTTGATGCCCCCTGGGATCGTCCACGCCACGTCGCTGGAGTAGGCCTGCAGCTTCTCCTTGGCGACCTCGCGCATGTCCTTGAAGGAGTCGTCCAGGCCCTTGACTAGCGAGTTGATCTCTGGGTTGGACGTGGAGCTGACCACCCGCGGCTCGGACCCGCCGGCGGTCCCGGCCATGCTGTCCTGCTCCACCATCTCCTTGTGGCGGTCCAGCCTCTGAAGGAGAGCCCCCATCATCTGGTCGTAGCTGTCCGCGCCGATCCCAGGCTTCGCTGGGGCTTGAGGTGCTGAAGGCGCTGGAGTTGGCTGAGGAGGCTCCGTCGGGCGCGACGCCTGCCTCTCCTCGAGAGCGGAGAGCCTCTCGGCCACCAAACCCAGCTGCCTCAGAACTTCGCCTCCCGCCGAGTCCGAATCCTCGACGTCTGACACCTGAGTGCCTTCGTCCCTGGGAGTCAATGATCCCGACTGGCTTGGAGACGGTGTGGCCGACCATGATGGCCAGCTCCAACCAGGAAGAGCGGGCGCTGAAGCACCAGAGGACGTTGTGGGCGATGGCGCAGGCGAGGGGCGCGAGGACCTGCAGCACGACATGAGGAAGCCACTCACGAGCATCACGGCCACTGAGAAGTAGAGAGGCTCGAGAGCTCCTGACTCGTGCATCTCGAACACCGTCTCGATCTCCTCCCTGAAATACTCCACCGTGTCCACGGTCTCCTTCGGCGACGAGTAGCCCCACTTCACCCACTCCTCCACGTTGAGGTAGACGACGGCTCGCCACAGCACGAACGTCGAACCCGCAGCCGTGCCTAAGCTCCGGCGGGCCCAAGCGTAGCCCGCGATGTTGGAGCCCAGCTTCAGTAGCCACGACACCGCGTGGCGGCGGTGGGACCTGCGTCCCGCGGCGCCTCCACCTCGAGGATGGTGGTCCCTGGTAATCTTGCCTGTCGTCGCTGCGGACCCCGTGGCGATGATGCGGTCGGCCGCCTCGATGGCCTTCTGCTTCTCCGTCGCGGAGAGGCCCTGGAATGTGCCGTGGTTCACGCCCGCGAACTTCGTTGACTTCACCTTCGTAGGCTGGCTGAGGTCGAGGACCTGGAGCCTGCCTGTCGGGTCGATGCAGACCCATCTCTTCTCGCCCAGCGTGGAGCTGAACTTGCTGACCAGGAGCATCGTGAGACCCTGGTTGGAGTCCGCCCTCGGGCGGTAGTAGATCCTGTTCCATCGCTGGAAGGGCATAGACTGCCCCTCAGGCTCGTCCTCGCACGGGTCGACGTCCTCGGCCTCGACGCTTGGCTCGTCGAAGGGCGACTCAGGCTCGGCCTCGTCGTCTCCCAGTAGCAGCGGGTAGCCTGACAGAACGTTGCCGAACCCGCCCGAAGCGTAATCCAGCAGATCCTCGAAGGCGTCCTCTTGCACCAGAGCGGTGCCGAGCACGCACGCGGCGAGCCAGGAAAGGCGCGTCGTGGCTGCAATCCCGCGCGCGCTCAAAGGGAGGCGCGAGAGGGCTGCTGCTCGTTGAAACTAGAGCCAATACGTTATGAACATCTATTCTGCACCTGCTATGCATGCTGCCCCACCCCCTCCAGTCTCTCAGGCCCGAGGGGGGGGAGGATCAAGCGCTCAGGGCCACTAGGCCCCGAGCGCCACACACGGCCTGCACCTAGAGCTCTCTAAGAAAGCCCGCTAACAAACATGTAACTCCCGGGGTAAAGATGCCGGGGCCAGGAGGGGGGCCAGGAAGGGGGCGTTGGTAGGCTTCGAGCGAGAAATTGTCGTGTGGGGGGTCCCAAGAACAGAGCTCTCCCGGGGTGGGGATGTTTTTTACCGGGGCCAGGGGACGGGGGCCAGGAGGAGGGCGTTGGGTAGGTTTCGGGAGGAGAAATATTTGTCGAGTGGGTCCCCCCAAGAACAGAGCTCTCCCGGGGTGGGGATGCCGGGGCCAGGAGGGGGGCCAGGAGGGGGGCGTTGGTAGGTTTCGAGCGAGAAATTGTGGTGTGGGTTGTCCCAAGAACAGAGCTCTCGCGGGGTGGGGATGCCGGGGCCAGGAGAGGGGCCAGGAGGGGGGCGTTGGTAGGTTTCGGGCGAGAAATTGTCGTGTGGGAGGTCCCAAGAGCAGAGCTCTCCTGGGGTGGGGATGCCGGGGCCAGGAGGGGGGCCAGGAGGGGGGCGTTGGTAGGTTTCGGGCCTGAGCCAGCTCGCGGCGGTGATCAGCGCCCGCCAAGCCACCGCAGCCCAACCCGAGGGCCCCGATGTGCCCTCCATGTCCAGCGAGCGCGAGGCGAAGGACGACAGAAGTCGTTGAGCCTTTCACGAAGGGGGAGAGAGCTGCCCTTCTCTCGGGGGGGCGGCGGCGCGAGGCCGCGAAGCTGCCCGCGCCTGGCGCATCGCGGGGCGCGGGGCGCGAAGTTCGTTGGCCCGGGGTCCGAACTATGGCCGAGGAGCGGCCGGGCCAAGCTCGGTGGGGTGGAGATGGTGCGGGGGCGTTGCAGAGGGGGGTGGGGACTGCGGGAGTGTGTGCGTGCGCGAGTGTGTGTGAGTGTTGGTTCCCTTCCACTCAACCCGAAGTTCGGGTCTCCGGGTCAGGTTTGGGTGTCCTGGTAGGCAGTCAGGTGAGCCCCCCACACCCTGGGCGAGTATGCCCCGGGCGCGTCCTCCCCCGACGCTGGCTCTTGGAGCTGCCTCGGGATGCTGTCTGGCGCAAAGGGGGGGGGGGGGAGTCGGCCACGCGTACGAGTGACCCTTCGCTGGAGTTACCTCTGGTGCGGGCACACAGGGGCCCCCACAGCACGTGCTGCCGCGATTAGATTTGGCCCCCCCGCGGTCCACGAAAGCCGCGCACCAGGGGTCACTCTTGCCCAGGGTCACTCTTACGTGTGGTCGAAGGAGGCAGGGAGTTTTCGGATTCTGGTCGGACCTCAGATGAGCGACGCAAAAAAACGTTATCGTTTTCGCCGACATTGGCGCGCAAGCTGCCCGCGTAAGGCCGCGCGCAAGCGCCCTCGTCTACAATGTAGCTTGCCGCGGTGGCGGCCCGCGTAAGCTGCGGCGTAAGGTCGCTGTGCCATCTCGCGTAAGACCCGTTTTCATCGTCGTTCACATGTCAGCGGCCAGCCGGGGGTGGGGGGAAGTAAGAAGGGGCGGGCCTCCTCAGAAGGCTAGGCAGTCCCCCGGCCTTCTGAGAAGTCCCGCCGCCTTCTGAGAAGGCCTTCTCCTTCTCATTTCCCCGCGGACGCGCCGCCGAATGTGGTTTTTGGGTCATAGCTCGGGCCGCCTCTCGGAACTATCTGGGCACCCCCGGAACGCCCTCGTCGAGGCGCAGCTGTTGGCAAGCATCCCGAGGCTGGACAACCGCCGAGAACCGACGAAAACGTCGGAGAGCCAAACGCCCAAACACCGAAAACCGTCCGAAGACGCCTGAAAACCGAACACCGACGAAAAAACACCCGAAAACTGAACAAATGCCTCGACGCCGAAGATGTTTCGGATGGTCCCTTCTGCTCCTTGAGGTTTCCAGCCTCGAGTTATGATGTTCCAACCTACTTTAGCCTTGATCACCATTCGAGCACCAAGAAAGCACAGAAGCGTGAGGGTTTTGACGTGTCGGGCCCTCAGAGGCGATGCTCGTTCGACACTGTTTCGATACTTGTCTGGGTGCTCAATATTATGTATGGGATGTGGTCCTGGAGTACGATGGGAGCAACATAATCCTTGAGGTTTCCCCCCTCGGGGTGCTTTCTCCCTCCGCTGCGCCTCAAGCCCCGAACGGCCGCCCCCTGGTGTGGCGAGACGAGTCGCGGCGGCAGGCCTTGTGCTGGGCCGTCCGCGGCGTCTGCAGGCCCTCAGGCGGGCCCCGGGGCCGTCCACGAAAGCGCCGGGGCGCAAAATCGTCTGCCTGGGATGGTGCCGAGCGTGCACAGGGAAACGGACAATGACATAAAAACTCGGAGGTCCGCGGGGGTCCAGCGCTGATGCGAGAAATCCGCGCGTACCTCCGAGTTGTGATGTTTATGTCGTCGTTCGTGCCCCTGGTGCAGCTTCCTGGCCACACTGGGGCATCGAGCGGAGTGGCGTGCAGCGCAGGTTCAAGTCATGTATCCTGCCTGGATGTTGCGAAGCGTACAGTTGTCGACACTTTCTTGTACCCCCACGAGGTCCACCAGAGCGGCGCGCCACGCGAATCCAACTCAGGCCTCGCTTGCCCTGGGAACTGCCAGGCGCACGACGCGAGACGCCGCCGAACAGCTGAACTGGCGGGCGATCTCAGCCCAGCAGGCCCTTGCATGGCTGAATGGTGGTGCGGCCAGTGGGTCTTGTAGCGTTCTTGTGTGCTTCTCACGCTACGGCGGGGGCTCGCACGGCCGCCGCCGAGAAGCTGGCGCGAAACTTCGGTCAGGCAGGGTTCGTGTACGATCGAGCGCATCGCTCATATCAGCAAAGGCGTCGTCGCTGTCCCTCCTGTGTCCGCTCACCCTGTGACCCCTGGTCACCAGCGCGCGTGTTCCTCCGCCTCCTCGCGCACTCCTCACATTCCCTATAAGCATCGTCGTAGCATCCTGTTCATTATCGTCTCGCTTGTGCTCCGGGTCTTCAGGGTGCCCGGAAGATTGCCTTTCGTAGAAATGTCAACATTGTCTGATCCCTCACAGTGTGCATCGCAGCAGCGTGCGGTATAGATGCGCGAGCACGTTGCTAGTCCATCGGCGCTGCCACACGCAGCGGGCGGATTGGGCACGTTGTTGGTAACATTGATGTTTGGGAGGGTCCCGCTTTTCGACAGGAGGTGGTTCCAAGATCGCTTCGTTGGGGCCAGCGAGCCCCCCAAGATGGCCGAAGACTGCCCCAAGAGGGCCCGACAAGGGCCCAAATGACCCAGGACAGCCCAAAGAGATCCAAGGCATCACAGTAGGGCCCAGCATTCCTTTTCCCTTCTCCCACAAGAGGACGCTGCACGGTTGGCTCAAAGGCATCTGAGCAGGAGGCAGTTTCTTGGTCTTCCCCAGCCTGGGCCTACGTAAAGCAGCCCTCCGCAAGTGAAGCATACCCGAGGCGATGCGCCTCCTCCGATGGGACATCATCACATCAGTGCCCTCGATTTTTGTTTGTCTTGCACAAGGCGCCGCGGCGTCCATTACGAATCCGCTTGCAGCCGTACCCACGCAGGAGCTGGACATCCCCAGTAGAGATGTGGGCACACATGATGAATGCGCCGAGGCAGAGTCCGACAAAGACGGCACATGCTTCCTCAGCGCATCGCACTTGTATAGCAAGAGAAGGGCCAGGCGCGTGCTTGGCGTGGACCTGTCCGAATCGACCGCGCGCGAGCCCAGCGAAAGAGCATGGGTAACTCTGCTGGTTGGCAATAGTGCCAACAGCACCGCTGCAGTGGAAATGCAGATACTCTCCGTGCAGCGTTTCTCGTCGTATCCTCACATCACCATGGTCACCCCAGACGTGAACGACGAGAGCCTCGCAAGACTGCGGGAGATGGGCAGCGTGGTCGTGCCCGTTGGCTATGTCAGTATCCGAAAAGGGCTGTGGCCTCTCCTCTGCCGCTGGCCCCCCCCCCCAGGCGGAGCCCTCTTGGGAGTGGTGCTGGGACCACGTGGGGCTTGGCGGGACAATCTCGCAGCCTCTTGGGGACATCTTGGAGCCTCTGAGCGGCAACCTACGAGGTTGTGCTGCGCAGACATTGGGACATCTAAGGGGCCTCAGTGGCAGCCTACGAGGCTATACCACGCAGACTTAGGGATATCTGGAGGCCTCCAAAGGGCCATCTCGGGGGGGCTCCTGAGGGGCATCCGCGGGCATCTTGTGGGTGGGGTGAACATCGTGCGCGATATTTGTGGTGCCATGTGGGTTATGGAGGCCACCGTGGGGCCATATTGGGCGGTCCTGGGGCTACCTTGGGGCCCCTGGGGACCGTTTTGAAGCCCGTTGGGGTAAAGTGAGGCCAGTAGCAGAAAATGTGAGCTTCCTGTTTTCTCGCAGCAACTTGGGGCCTTCTTGGTCAGACCTTGGTTAGTCAGGCCGCCTTGAGGTCTCTTTCTGCCGTTGTTTTACTCTCGGAGCTTTGTTTTGACCCTCTTAGGGGTGTCCCTGGAAGCCTCTCAGGCCCAATTCGCCATCTGGTGACTTCCTCATGGGAAGTACGTAGCCTGCAGTTCGGAAGTCATGGCGGGTCCCACTGGGAAACGAGCATACACATCTCGCAAGCAGTGCGGGCGTAAAAGTGTGGAGTGAGCATGCGGAGGACCCTGATCGAATCTTGCTGTCAGCGTCGCTCTGCTGGCGGAGGAGGAGGACGAGGAGACAGATGATCCTGAGGACCAGGAGGAGGAAGGAGGAGGAGGAGGAGGAGGAGCTTTGGTAATCCGAGCGCGTCCCCGATGCGCTGGTGTACTTTGTATATGTTGGGGCCGCTTTGGGGCACTGTTGGGGCTCTCTTAGGCTCGCTGGGGCCTCTGTGGTCGCTTCCTGGGGCCACTCCGGCGTTTCTTTGAAAGTCTAGAAACCGTTTTGGCGTGTTTTGGGGTTGTTTGGAGGCGCCGTGAGGCCTTCTTCCAGCTCTCTTGGGTAGTAGTGGGGCAATATTTGGTTGTTTCGAAAATATTGCGATGGCTTGACGGCCGATGCTGCCGACCCTGCAAGGGGATGGGACGACGACGACGACGACGACGACGACGACGACGACGACAACGGCGACGGCGATGACGACGACGACGCTGACGCTCTGCAGCCGAAATCTTCTTCCAGGGAGGGGTGCTAGTGGGGTGTCACAGACCCCAGGACCGCCCCACCCCCTCCCTGGACCCCCACCCCCAGGACCCTCCCCCCCCCCCCAGCGAGGGAGGGATCAAAGGCAGGGGGCTTCCCTTCGACTCGATTGCAACTTTGCTCGATTTTCCTCTGGCTGGAAGATATGAGAGGGAGCGGCGGCGAAGATGACGACGACGACGACGAACGACGACTCAAGCGAAAAAGATTTTCACACGCCGACAGGGTCGGCCGATTTTTTCTGGCAGGGATGATGGGCATGCGTGCAGCTGGCAATATGCCGCCCCCTCGTCACTTTCAGAGAAGGTGCGAAGTCATCGCTTGGTGCCCGCGCGTGATACAGAGGTGTTCACAAAGTGTACTTCGTGCTGTTTTTGTTTGAGTGGGAACGTGTTGTCGTGGTTCCGAGTTTGCCCCCGGTGTGCGAGGGGGTGACAATCAGTAGCGAACAGGAGGGGAAGAAGGGGGGTGGAACCCGTAATTCGCGAAACTACCTACGCCCAGAGAGGTGGTGAGATTCTGGCCAGAATTCGCCCCTGGATAGGTCCAGGTACATATTTGCTAGAGGGAGCTTCGGCGGCGAGGCTCGAGGATGGAGTTGTTCCTCAGCCTCAGCTTCTGGGGGCCCGTTCCAGGCCCTGGGGCCGTCAGGAATGTACCAGCGTTTAAATCTGACTTGGATGACAGATCTTGAGCGGACACACCTTGGCATCTTACCACATCCACCAGCTGGGAGATCCGGCCCGCGAGTGATTGAAAAAATGGCACAGGTTGCAAAGTCGGATGAGTCGGGTATCAGGTATAAAGCCGTTGTCGTGTTCGCTGTCGGAGGCAGATGCAGGGAGTTCGGCTGGAAGGCCTCGCGGGAGACCCTGGAGGGTGCCCTTGCGCCCTTTCCGGAGCAGCTTGTGCCGTTGCGGGAGAATGTCCTCGGCGCTGGAAGGACTTCTCTCAGCCTGTGCATAGACGGAGTGGAAGGCTGCCTGAAGTACACCCATCAGAAACCTTAAGAAAAATCATCAAGTGTCATGGGCTCCAGATTTCGTTTGTAGAAAATCAAGAATCCGGACTGGACCTGGGCGTTTTCTTCGAGTTTTCCCCACCCGACATGTTGAGGTCGTTAGGTTTACAGAACAGACTTCCTGACCCGTCCACCCTGCATACCGCGGCCGCCAGATCCCCATCTACCCCGAATGTCCCCGAGAGTCCCGCCTCGCGCCACTCTGCATACCGCGGCCGCCAGATCCCCAGGCCCCACGAGTGTCCCCGTGAGTCCCGCTTCGCGCCACTCTGCATACCGCGGCCGCCAGATCCCCAGATCCCCCGAGTGTCTCCGAGTGTCCCGCCTCGCTCCGACAAATCATAACATGACAGAGCGGTAGAATGAAATAGCAGAACATTGTACAGCACAACGTTGCAAGTTGTGACCAAACAGAGCATAGCACCACACCATCAGAGCAGAACATGCCATTTCATGACAGAACATGTCGGAACATAACACAGCATGACAGAGAAGTGTATATTATGGCACAGTATCACAGCACATAACATAGCACGACAACGTAAGTATACAGTAAGAAGCGTCGCAGCATTGAGCATACAGCAACGGAACTTGACACAGCCTCACATAACATGACACAACATACAGTGTCTCAACACAGCAGAACAAAGCATGATATGACAGATCGGAGCATACATACCATACCAAACCATATCATAACATCACATGACATGACACACCATTGTATAACACCCTAACAGGAGACACCACACCATAACACAGCATCACAGCACATATAGCATGACATATCAAATCGCAGCACAGGTGACAATTCACAGCATGGCGAGCGCGGCATGAAATGTTACACTATAGCAGAGCATACCAGAGCATAACACCATACGCGATGACATAATTGATCGGACAGAGCAGAGCATATCGCCGCACATCATAACAGACACAATAGAGCATAACATAACACACCATGAGATAACATGCCATAACATAGCATACCATGGCAGCACAGCTCGCACCGTAGCACAGCAACAACGCACATAGCATTACATACAATTGGAAACCACACCATGATAGAGCGCGGCATAACACATTATACCATATCACACCATAGTATTAAATAATGCCATGCCATAACAACAGCATACAGCATAACCACGCATGCAATGGCACCATCGAGCGTACATAGCATACCATAAAACCAAACATCAGCACGAACATGAGAGAGCACACCAGACCATATCGTAACATAACATGCCAAAACATTTCAAGCAATGACCAACCATCTCATACCATAACACAGAACCGCGGCGCTTCATGGCATGACAGAACATACAATAGCATATCTCAGCCTAACACGCTAGAGCATAGCAAACCATTTTAGAGAGTGTAACAGACCATGTCTCGACAGAACAGAGCATGACAGAACGCAGCATCGAGCATCACATCAATTAACAACGCATACCATGGCAGAAATGAGCAGAATGGGGTAGATCATCACAGACCATAACAGAGCGTGCAGGAACTGTTTTACGATTGCAACCACGACAGCAACGCATGCATTCAGACATCGCAGGCTGTACCAGATTGCAGGAAATAACATAACATCGCAGAATGGAATGAACAGAGAACAGAGCACAACGAAGCCAGCATACCCTAGCATAGCTCTTTCACGACTGATACTCTTACGCCAACGAGTTTGACAGACCACCATGTATTACACCGCCCCTGAAAAGTATACCATTACAGCGCAGGGCATCATATACTGTAACGAAGTCAGCAGAACGTTAACATCATCGCTGAGCAACGTTTAACAGAAGATAGCATGTTACGGCACGGTGCCACATAATTGAAGAGCATATTCCAGAACAGCAAAAACCAGAACCGATGATGAACAGCATGGCGCAATACACCGTATTGTAATATTGTCAAGCGCGACGTGCGCGCCGAGGTCAGGCTGCCCACTGGACCAAGCAGGCGGAGCAACGATCGAATGGACGACGTGGCACGCGCGACAGGCGTCACGACGACACGCCAGGCTGTCACAATTATTTCTTTCACGACTACAACGACTACTACTAAAACTACTAAATGCCATGCCTGATACGCACTGTGCTACTATTACTACTACTATACTACTACGGACTACTCCTACTACTAGTGCTACCACTACTACTGAAACTACTATTACTACACTACTACTACTAGGCTACCTTTACTACTACTACGACTACTACTACTGCTACTCACTACTACTACTACACTACATACTACTACTGCTACCGTGCTACTACTATAATGGCTAATTTTCTAATACTACCTACGGGACGACTCCTACTACTACTGCTACAACTACTACCACCTACTACCACTACTATCTTTACTACGACTTTACTATCTTACTATTACTACTACTTTTTTTTTAATTAAACGTACAGACATACTGCTACGACACTACTACTACTCCCATACTACTCGTACTACTACTATTAGCTTAA